TAGGAATTAATAACATAAGGTGTGAGTGGGGAAGATTCCTGTGTATATGTGTAAGTTCACACCTTCGCAGAAGGGACAGTCTGAGTGCATGTTTGCTCCCATCAGTACCTCTTATAATAGTCTTCTTTTAGTTACCTAGAGACTAAGTACACTGGAGAAACCAAGGGCCTTTAGCAGATGTACGTCAGAATGCACAGTAATGAATTCTTCACTTACATGTTGAACTGCTTAAGGGGAAGGACCGTGTCTTATTCACCTTTAAATCCCTAGCATCCAGGTTAATCTCTGGTGACCTAGTAGAAGTCCCATGAATACATCTCTTCAAGGAGTAAAGATGTTTTATGATCACCTAATACTTCAGAGTCCATTTCCTATCCCAAATCTGCCCACATATTTTAATTAGCCTTCATCTGGTTTATCTCAGTCTCTGTTTATCAACGACAAAACAATAATTAGGACCAATTATGTAAAAGGACAAATGAAAATATGCCGTATGTCGAGAAAACAGGCAAGAATATGATTTTCCTTGCCCCAGGAATATTAAAAGCTGAATAACTTACCATTTTCCCAAAGTAGAAAAACCAACTACAACATCAAAAACTACATCTTTTTTTTTTTTTTCTTAAAGAAAAAGATATACTGGATAAGCAGGAGCCTCACAGCAATCCCATTTGTTTTTCATAGAGCTCCAAATTTTAGTTTTATTCCAGGCTCTGCCCATTTCTTGCTTTTGCAAGATCTGAAAAGTCAATTACTCTAAACATAATCTGCAGCCTTAGGAGCTGACACTTTGCCAAGTAATTTAAAATGCTTTGCTAAGGAAAACTTATAACTTCTCTGTTTTCTTTTAGATGATGTTATAGAAGTAAATTGTGTATACAATTAATTCATCCCTGAATATTTGCTATCAGTTCAAAGAGCTGAGAACTTGGGTATTCAAAAGGCAGAGAATACAGACGACTGACTCCCTGCTTTTGCTGACTTGCCTCCATTTTTATGAATGCTAATTAGAGATTAACTGGTACACAGGGAAGCGTGGTTCACGGGCTAACTTTCACAGAACTAGCTTACATCATCATCTGAGACTGTAATTACTATATCAATATGGGCATACTTCTGAAATAGACTGGGGGAATTTCTCAAATGCCCTGAAAAATATATATTAGCACATATTGCAACTTAAAGATTAGGCATTTCTTCAAAATTTTTGGCTGGCCTCTTCAATTTACATATTTGTAAAAGGTTGTCCTTCGTATAATATTTTGCACTTTGTCAGTGCTTGATAAATCTTGATTGAATGAATTGATATTTTCTTATAATATTCTTCGTAGGGCAGAAGATCCCTAAATACTTTTATTTTACCATGAGCAGAAGTAAGACGTGGACCCATGAAGACAATGGATTGGGTTCCTCATCATTAACAGAGTTGGATAAGGGCTTGTCTATCTAACTCTCAGTTCTCACCTACCTCTGATATTCTTTAAGTTATTCAAGGTCACAGTGAAAAAAGCAAGTGATGGTGTCATAAATGGAACTAGAATCTTTGAATTTGTCCCCTGAATTACTGGCTGTATTTCAAGAAACATCTGCTCAGAGAGGTATTTCCCATTGGAGAGGAAGTAAATAATCTCTGAAAGGAATTGCCCAGTCTTCATGAAGAGCTGAGAGCTACCTAATCAATCTGTAATGTAGACACTGACCGTCAAGAAAATTGAAGGTGAAAGTGAAATACACAAAATTAGTTCTAGTCTGTTATTTGTTTCCATGCATGGATTCATTCATTCATGGAGGTAAAAAAAATGGGTAAAGCACAGCTTGAGCCATGACCTGTTCCTGAAACAGGTATCTGTTTGCTTGTCTTCAGATCTTATTTCCACGTTAATTAGGCACGCAGTAATTCTCAGCTCCTGCTGTGCCAGCACTGGGCTAAGTGTTAGCGGTGAACAAAATAGACAGCGTTTCACTCATGGACCTTGCAGCACAGAGCGTGAGATAGGCATTTGGTTTAAAAATCACATAAATGTACAATTATAAATTGCTTGAGTCATATGGGAAAAAAGAGAGAGAGAGAATAGAGTAGAGGACCTGATTTCCTTTTTCAAGGAGCTCCTCTGTGGAAGTACAAGTTAAACTTAGACCTAAGATGACCAGAAGTTAATCAGGCAAAGTGTAGGGAGGGCTTTTCAGTTTGAGGAATGAGCATGTGTGAAGCGCTTGAGACAGGAAGAGATTCAGTGCATTTTGTGAAGAAAAGGAAGGCTGGTGTGAACAGTGTGTTCAGCAAAGGGAAGAGTGACATGAGATGTTTAAGAGGCAGGCAGCGGCTTGATCATGCACAGCCTGGATGCCATGTTAATGACTTTGCATTTTATCCTAATGCAAAGGAGAGAGCGATCTGATCTGTATTTTTAACAGATCACTTTGGCTGCACTGAGACTAAAAGAGGAGGACAAAAGTGGAAGGGGTGAGACCAATTAGGAGACTATTATAGGTGGAAGATGATGGTGGCATGGATTAAAGCGGTGGAAAAACAAGTAGAGGAGAATTAATAGATTTGAGATATATTTCAGAGGTAGAATCAACAGGACTTGAAGATAGACTGAATGATGGGTGTGAGGGAAAACAAAGTGCGAAGTGTGATTTTCAAGTTTTGGCTTGGGCAGTGGAGTAAATATATGTGCCGTTTACTGAGTTGGACAAGTGTGGAAGGGGAACAAAGTGGGGGAGAAATCAAGAATTTCAGTAACAGTGTATTGGTGGCAATGCCACTAAAATGGGTGTGTCTGTGTGTGTGTGACATTTTTCTAGAAATAAATATGAAAAAGTATGGAAAAGGAAAGGAAAGAATAGGGAAAAGGATAGGGACAGAATGAGAATAAACAGAAAATAGAATTCCCGAAGGGAAGATGAAGGGTGAGGGTGGGGACTAGTGCATATCAGGACTGCTGAGGGTGTGTAATATGAAAAACACATATTCGACATTATACTGCAATTTTTAAAAAAAAAATTGGGGGAAAAAACCCTGTGGTTTTCATAATACAGATTACAGAAAGCAAATGGAGAAGAATCATATCTGGTGGGTCCATACAAAAGGTAGATTCTGTCATCCACTTATTGGTGAGTTTTTAGGAAGGGATACATCACAATCCCCAGTGGGAGGCAAGGAATGTAATTCTTGTGTTCATCAAAAAAGAACACGGGTTAAAAAAAAAAAAAAGATTCATTGACACTGAGCCAGATGAAGGGAGATGAGCAGGCAGGATAAAAATAGAGAAAGGAAAGACAAAGAGAAATGGGTGGAGAATTTTTCCAGCAAGCAAAGACGTCTGGGCCGTCATGCCTATGCCTATGCAGGTGCTAGTGGTCACCTGGGTTTGAATCCCAGCCCTGCCACTTAGTGGTGGCTGATCGTGGGCATGTCAGGTAACTTCTCAAGCCCCGACTTTTGTATTTGTAAAGCAAAGATAATGATAACATCTACCTCGTAAGGTGATTGTCAGGGTTAGGAGAAATAATTTGTAAGAAGTGCTCAACAACACGCCTGGCACACAGGAAGAGCTCAATAAATGTTAGCTGCCTTTATGTAGCTGACTATTTATAGATGCATAATTACTAGAAAGTCGTTATTGTAGGTGTGTGTGTTCCTTCTCCCTTCCCTATGGCTATGGTGACTTTGCCCTCTTAGCTTCAAAATTGTATTGTTCACTGTACCAAGAAGAAGTTTTTATAATTTGTTAAAAGTATAGGAGGATATAATTAATATTTATAAAGAATTTTAAAACAAGCAAAGCTATTAGGCTTTACCTGTTGCAAATTAGTGAAAATGCCCCAGCTGATTACATAGCCAAAACTATGTTTCTTATCTATTTCTAGAAATGTTAGCTATAACTTAAAATTTGTTATTGAACTCCCCTAGAGAGGCAAATAATTGACTTCTAAACTTATTCTTTGAAAATCTCCAAAGACAGAGATGATGTTCTAAGGAGACCCTCTTCACTATGAATCACTCTAAAATCTGTATTTTCTCAGTCCTAATAATATTATGAAGACATATGAAGATATTCTGTCTGAAAACATAACAATATAAGCACCCCATTACATGTAGAAACATCACAGTTGAGATCTCCCCACTTTAAACTAAATTGGAACTACCTTATGGAACATTGTATTCTCTTTTTCTTTCTCTCTCTCTGGCTGCTACAGGAAGATAGGGTTTTATTATCTGTCATACATATGCTTTAGAATTATAATGCAGAATTATGTCCAACCTTCAGACTTAGAACAATTTGTTTACAAATTGTGGAAAAACTCAAAACATTCTAAGATCAAATCTGAACTCCACAGCTATTGGCAATATCATACTGAGGGAACTGCCTTAACTTCTCTGAACTTCAGTTTTCTTATATAAAATGGGAGTAACTAAATAAGATAACAGATGTTAACATACTGTAAAGGTGAAGATTATGTTCTTGGTGGTTAGTTAGAACCAACTAGTTCTGTAGTTTTGGATGAGTTGTTTAATACCTCAAAGAGTCAGTTAAATGGTGGTATTAATTTAATAATTTAGTTAAAATATTAAATGGCAGTAATACTATCTACTTCTTAGGCTGTTATGCATGGAGCACAGTATTATTATTGAAAATGTATTAATCAAAAATGTATTCAGTAAATGTTCTCTTTCATCCTTCTGTATGAGGAAAATAGTGCTAATTAAATTTCAGAATTAATTCTTCTGGAAAAATATAATACCTTATTAAAAATGCATGGGAATCAAGAACATTTAGAGCATCATGTGATCACGTGTAAGTGCTCTGTGATCACACTAGAAAGAAAAAGTCAATGTTCTTAATTTCTCCCATTGCCCCAAGGAAGCAGAACATCTTTCCACCCTGAGGAAGATGTAGAGTGCAAGAGAAGTAAGCAGAGGTGGATTCTACCCATTCATCCTTTTGGAAGCACATGCAATTTGAGAAGATGAAGTGAGGAAGTGCATGCAGTACCTGGTCATCTCAGAGTCAGGGAGCAGGCCTAGGTGGTAGTGGGGGTAGGGAGCTGAGAGAAGGAAGCTTTTGTCACACTCAACAGGGGAATAGTGCCTGGGAGAAGCAGGCTTATCGCACAGTTTGTTCACAGTGCTGTAAACAGGTTCCGGAGGCCTGGTGATACAAGAGGCAGACAAAGAGATGCATGGTTAGCACACACACTAAACAACTGTGCAACTAGCAGCATTTCACCATACTCCAAAGTGAACAACTCAAACAATGCCATGGGCTTCATCAGGCCTGAGTTAAGAGTCTCTTCAGGAAACAGGTTCTCGGCTTAGGAATTAGAACTTTGGCTGACATGTGGCAGGACTAAAATCCACGTGTCAGATACCTCAGGAGAGTCATAATCATCCTTTAAATGCTATATCCTTCTGGATAAGCCAGTCTGAAATGCCAGACTTTGGGATTCTCTGGCACGGCTCCTTCTTAAACTTGAATCTCATCTTTTTTTTTTTTCTTTTCTTAATTTTATTTATTTTTTATACAGCAGGTTCTTATTAGTTATCCATTTTATACATATTAGTGTATACATGTCAATCCCAATCTCCCAGTTCATCACACACACACACACACCCCACTTTCCCCCCTTGTTGAATCTCATCTTAAATGTGAACTTCAGAGACCTTCCCCGACCACTTTGGCCGGGACACCCTGTTACTTTTCATAGCACCTATTCATACTTCATAATATTTTTTCTCAGCATGAAATAATTTTTTTGTTTATTTAAAATTTTTATTGTCACTCTCACTACACCATAAATTCTATGAGGAGAGAGACTACGTTTATTTTGTTAACCACTTAAAATACAGTCTGGCACACAGTACATATTCTATTAACTATTTGTTGACTGCATGTATGAACGAATAAATGAATACAACTTCCCACATTTATATTGCGTTTTTTTTTTTTTTTGGTGCCTTGCGGGGGTTGGTCTTACCCAGGAATCTAATAGGTTATATGACCTGAGTGGTTCCTCCATATATTTATTCAGAGTTTGTCCCCCAATAATTGACTTCAGAAAGTTTTCTACAAAGAGGACAATCATTTTAGTAAAATTTCTATTAAGTGAATTCATCTAGGGATACTGTAATATTATCTAAAATAGCAACATTGTTATAGCTGCAATTTACAAACATGCATAGTATGACTGGGTAAAATTTTCTACAATTTTTGGTCACAGATCCATGTAAAAACAAAGTCCTTGGTTATTAAAACAGTTTTTTCACAACTCCATTCGCCACTTTTTAAACACATGGTCTGAAATTACTACCAATACCTTTCCAATAAGGTAAGAATGGAAAGGTCGGAACTTAAATGGAAGTACTACTGGCAGTCTGGGCCATGGACCCAGGAAGGGTAGGCTTAGCCAGTAAGGTAAGGAGCGTGTCAGGAAACCGGGCGATACCCATGAGGTCATACCCAGGGGAGGCAGATAGCGCCCCTAAGGGCCACAAGACACCAGAGGCCATGTTGGTGGCCACGTGCCTGAACAAAGGCACAGGAAGCGTAGGTGGTGAACTCAGTGAGGGCACAGTCTGTGTTTCTGTAGCCCTAGCCCCCAACATGGCCTCTAATGTATAACAGGTGCTCAGTCAATGCTTCCTGAACTGACTGAGGATGGAGAACAGGGAAGAAAGGAGGATAAACAAAGCATTAAAAACAAACTACCTAGTTTATAATATTACTGTGGCCAATCATGGCTTAGACATACTGTCTAGAGACTTGGATTCTTCTCTAACACAAAGCTTTCCACCACATGGAAAGAGATTCCTTGATCTGTTTATTTTGTATAACACAGTAGAAGGGCTGAGGAGTAGGCAGGAGGAATCTGGAGGCCTATTTTGTCCCCCAGAATAACTATCTCAGTGGTAAAATGAAGTACTTTGGCTTGTTCTATCCCAGTGGCTAACCCTGTAACATTTACAAGAATTAAAGGTTTTTAAAATAAAAGAGCCAAACTTTTTTCTTACATTAGGGAATCTATTCTTAGGGAAGACAAGTGCTCCATTTTTTAAAAAATCTAGTAAGCTTGTAAATTTCTGTTTATCAATGATACACACACACAATTTATAATGGTAAACACCAGCCCTTAAAAAAGGCAGCTGCAAAATCATTCTTAAAAAGTTTTTTGTTTTTAAATCAGTTTTTATAAGTAATTCACACTGTGGGAAGTAATGTAAAAGGAAAGATACTTCTGGTTAGCCACTGAAACACATCTTTTAAAATAGTCAGATTGACTATTTGATTTGGGGGGAGGGGGTCTGTTTTTGCTTTGTTGATATAATCAGCTTTATGAAGATTAATGTACATTTCCCATAGTTTTAGAGACAGAAAGACTCATGATTCTGGTTAAAGTTGCCTTGGGAAATCACAGTCTTATTTGTACCTAAAATGTGTTGTCTACACAAAAATTCAGCTTGGAAAAAGCTTTGTATTAATAGGCTGCATAAATATGAATTAAATAAGAAAAGAAGAGGCATGCATGAGCTCTATGGGAATGATTCTGGGTAGGTTATCACAAGAGGACCTGCTATTATTCTCCAATTTTTCCACGCTGAAATAGAATCACTGTGGCAGAGATGGCTGGATTGCTTCCCAAACATTAATTTTTCCTATTTCTTATCCTTTTTTCTTATTAATAGATATCAACTTTTTCATTGGGCACTTTTCCTGTAATAAAGACTTTATTTCTCAGCCTTGTAGATGGATGTGGTTGTGGGATTTCTGAGATGGCTGCTTAAAGGGAAGCTACTTTAGCTGAGACCCCTGCAATTGTATTCTCTCCCATGTCCTCCCTCTGCTGACCTGGAACCCAGATATGATGGTTGGAGCTTCAACAGTCCCACTGGACCATGAAGCAACCTTGAGAATGAAGGCAAACGATACAGATTGTAGAGCATAATGGTACAGCTTGTGTCACTGATGACATAGAGCGATACTATACCAACTCTGGACTACCTACTCTGGATATCTTCTTTGTATAAAAATAAACTATCTTGTTTAAGCGAGTGTAATTTTTTGTTATATAAATAGGACTTAATGTTAACAGATATACTCCTACAAAATGTAAGACTGATCATCTAATACAAAGAAATAACTACAGATAGGGCCTACCATAAGGTACTAATACATTTAACTCTATCAGAAGTCCAAATAACACTTTCTTTGTACAGAGAAAAATTTAAAGAATGTTATTTTCTGACTATATAATTTAGAACCCCTGGCTGTTCAGAGAACCCACTGAATCTTTATTAAAAAAAATACATATATAAAATGGTAGCTGAAGTGTCCATCGACAGATGAATGGATAAAGAAGATGTGGCACATATGTTACATCAGTGGAATATTTCTCAGCCATAAAAAGAAATAAAATTGAGTTATTTGTAGTGAGGTGGATGGACCTAGAGTCTGTCATACAGAGTGAAGTAAGTCAGAAAGAGAAAAACAAATATTGTATGCTAACACATATATATGGAATCTGAAAAAAAAAATGGTTCTGAAGAACCTAGGGGCAGGACAGGAATAAAGACGCAGATGTAGAGAATGGACTTGAGGACACGGGGAGGGTGAAGGGTAAGCTGGGACGAAGTGAGGGAGTGGCATGGACATATATACACTACCAAACATAAGGTAGATAGCTAGTGGGAAGCAGCCGCATAGCACAGGGAGATCAGCTTAGTGCTTTGTGACCGCCTAGAGGGGTGGGACAGGGAGGGTGGGAGGGAGACGCAAGAGGGAGGAGATATGGGGATATATGTATACGTATAGCTGATGTGCTTTGTTATAAAGCAGAAATTAACACACCATTGTAAAGCAATTATACTCCAATAAAGATGTTAAAAAAAAAAATGGGAGCTGATCTAAACTGCCAGCCCAGGGCCTAAGAATAAAGGAATCAATGACTTCCTTGAGGCCATAGAACATTGTCATGGTGATGTCATTTCAGTAACGTTGCACTTTCTGCCTAAAGAGCTTATTCAATTTTCTCAGTCTGATGTTGTCTCCACAGACCAAGAAAATGATGTTACCAATTTTCTTCTAGTCTTCTTACCTTGGTAGCACTATATTTTGAGACAAATTATCAGAATCAAAGCTGGCTAATACATACATACCTTAAGAAAAAAAAAATCCTACCTGTATTGTACTCATCTAAATTAGGGAAAACATTTTAGTCTCTGAACGCTACAATAAATTCAAGACAAAAAAAAAAAAAAAAAAATGAGGTCCAGCACACTATTCAGTGCTGAACTTGTGAGCCTTTTACCTATATTTTTTGGAACCATTTTATGACCATAATATTATTTCACAACTCACATATTTAGAAGATTTGGTGTTTGGGGCAGGCTTAAATATCTTGGATTTTAGAAAGTCACTTCCAGATTGTTTCATAGTGGATTGATTCTTTGCCTAAGCTTAATTACTCTTGATTCAAAGTTTTATCAAACTCAATCAAAAGAGATACAGCTACTCGTATTGCAGGCTTATTTTTACCTATCACTCAGCTTTGATTCCTTTTCTGTTTTTTTGCATGTTATTTTGTACAGTCACTGGCTAAAGAGTAGACATATCAAATCCAGTTTCTTTTTCTGATTGTGAGAACACTTGATATCTCAGAAGATGGGTAGATGAAAAGACACCAAAACATGACAAAACACTTGACAGGCTTGACAAAGACTTCTTGAAACACTGACAAAGTCCTCATGCAACCAAACAACTAAATTAAAAATATCAGCGAGAATCTCCTTTTATGTGACATAAAGATGGGGTTCACATTTGAAGGTTTCTGTCTGCTAGCTTTATTACAGTCCTAGAATTCTATTATGTGTTACGTACTATACCAGCCACAGTAAAATATCCAGTAACTACTACTACTGTCTGAACATAGGAAATGGCACATAGTAGGTACTTTAGAAATGTCTCTTTGAATGAATGGATGGAGATGTATATCTATAGGTATAGATATAGATTTTTTTATAAACATTCTCCACTGAGAGAAATGAAGAAAGACTTCTGGCATTTTCAAGAAGCCCTAAGTTATTCTGAATCGCCTAACTAGGTTTAAAATTTTTAGACCATCATTAACTACAGGTTAGATGACAGAAGGACAGAAA